GGTTTTAGCTCTATAACATTTGTTTTTTTTCTGTTCCAGTTTTTCTCTCTTAACTCTGGAGTCGAACGGATGAAGATGGATCAGAGATGTTTGCTGAGTACTTCTGCTTCTGATACTACTTCAAAGCCTAACTCTGGTAATCCGGAGACAAAATCTTCCGGTGAAAATGAGAAATCTGGAGGATCAGAGAGTTCTGATGGTGGTTCAGATCAGAAAAGCGACCGTGGTGCTTCTGGAAAAGACGTTCGTGGAGCGGTAAATTTCCTCCTCTCCTCTCTTTTCCTTTTTGATAATTGTGTTCATGAACAAGTCTCTCTGATGAAACTATCGAACCGCATCAATGATCTAAATCGTGCTTTTAGGGTAATAGATTTAGATTGATGTTTTGATTGGGAAATTTTTTGTTACTACAGCCCGTTTCATGGATGAGTTTTTTCTTGCTGTTTGCTACTGGAGCTGGATTGGTCTTCTATTATGATAGGGAAAAGAAACGACATATCGAAGGTACTCATCTATGGTGAGTTTGTTTTTTGAATAACCGTAATGTCGAGTTTGGATTGTGAGACACAGTGATACTGAGGTGTTAGGATTTTGAACGAGCTCTCAATATCTTGCTTCGTGGAGTCCATTTTGTAATGGAGTTCTGAAATGTAATGTAGAAAATCTCCTAATTAAATAACTGATTTGGTTAGAGATAAACGTGACATGGTAAAGGAACTGATCACTTCAATCACTGAGTAAATGCTTAGTGGTTTTACATTGGTTTGCGGTGAATTCCAATATCTTTTTAAATCTTATTGTTGGTCTCTATTCTTCTTTGTATATTGACTCGGGTTCTTGTCTACGCAGATATAAATAAAAATTCTATTGCCGTCAAGGAGGGACCATCTGCTGGAAAAGCAGCCATTGGAGGACCATTCAGCCTTATAAGAGACGATGGGAAACGAATCACGGAGAAAGACTTGATGGGAAAATGGACCATCTTATACTTTGGGTTCACTCATTGTCCTGATATCTGTCCTGACGAGCTTATTAAGTTAGCTGCCGCCATTGACAAAATAAGTGAGTTGCCAACATTTTTTCATTTGTGTGGTTCCACATTTGGATATAGTCTCTGTTAAGGTTCTATCACATTTTTACACAGAGGAAAAGTCGGGAGTAGATGTTGTGCCAGTGTTTATCTCTGTGGATCCTGAAAGAGACACAGTTCAGCAAGTGCATGAATATGTCAAAGGTAGATATTTTCTAAGTCCGTAAAATCTTTCGTTTTTTGAATTGAAAATTCATATAGTTTGATATTTCTTGTAGAATTTCATCCGAAATTGGTTGGTTTAACTGGGAGCCCTGAAGAAATCAAATCAGTGGCCCGTTCTTACCGGGTTTACTACATGAAGACGGAAGAGGAAGATTCAGACTATCTCGTGGATCACTCTATAGTCATGTACGTGTACTTATTATCTCTTAATATAGTTTTTGTTCGGAATATTACACTTGTCAGCACGGAAATCAATATGTGGGTTTACAATCTTTCACGTCAATATACAACATCAGAATACAAAAATCATATGGATTCTCAAATTTCAGGATTTACATAGTTACAGTCATGTATTTTGGCTCAGTAGTGTTTTGATCTTTTTTGATTTGGTGGTTTGAGTTTTAATACAAAACCATATTGTGGGTGAAGGTATTTGATGAGTCCGGAGATGAATTTTGTGAAATTCTACGGGAAGAATCACGATGTTGACTCGTTGACCGATGGCATTGTAAAAGAGATCCGACAGTACCGGAAGTGAAGAGCCGTAGAAGAAACACTTAAGAAATAGGTGATTAATGTTGCATTATTCCCATTTTTTTGGATTTCTTGGTCACCAATAAATAAGAATCCCTCCGTACACGGAGCTTGTGTTTCCTTGGAAAATGTATCAGTTTTTGTTTCGGCCGAGCTTGCTCACGACAGCGTCCATGTTATAAAGGCTCAACATTGAGACATTCTGATTGAGCTGTGTGCGATTAATTGATCCACCGTTTTAAGGTTTAACATATGGGCTTTTAACGCCCAAAAATTCTCGAGTTTACTTTAAAAATCTAGTAATCAAGAGATTAGCAGATGCAAATGTTGCAGTCATTGTTTACTACCATTTATCAAGTGTTACATCTCAGCTTTTGGGAGCAGCATAAAATAATCAATTAATCATCCACCTTTTGGTGTAAAATGTAAGAGAAGCAGTTGAAATCACGAAACCCAAGTTTAAACATTGTTTGTGTATTAATCGAAAACGTAAAACAACAACTTCCGACTTTTTTTCCATCATACAGTATGCAAGACACACCCGAATACATCCCTAAAATCTTCCCTATTTTGTTCGACTCCTCTCAACTCTCTCCTCCTTTTTTCTTTTCTTTTTTGATGAAACATTGGGACAAAAATTGTATTGAAGAATGAATTGACATTAATATTCAAGAAGAAGTTGTTTTAATGACGTCTCCTCTTGTCCTTGTCGGGCAAAAAAAACGCTTGTGGAGCTAATAGAGACGCACCTCACCAAAGATATGTACAGAGTTCCTCAAACCACCAAGGTCACAGAGGACACAATGCAACATGCGCGTCTATGTAACACCCATCAAATCAGTAACGGTAAAGGGAAAAAAGCTCATTCACCTGAACATAAATGAAGTGGCGAATCAGATCAAGTGGTTGAGATACATCACCATATACACACTGAGAAGGAAGAATAATGAGGGACCAGAAACTCACTTGGATACTGCTGCTCTTTAAGTGATAAGGAAACAGACAATGAAGAGGCAAAAAAAAATGTTCAATCACGGTAGCTTCAAGGCTTGCTTCACTTGTGCAAGCGCCGATGGGTGCATCCTACTAATGGCAGAATTAAAGGCATCTCCATGAAGTGTAGAACATGTCTGAAGGTTCTCACGCATTGAGTTCTCCAGTGACATCCGGTAGATTGGGTCGGAAACTTTGATCTAAATAAGATCAGACCCAGAAGCAAAAAAAAATTATGTTCAAATCAATGCTTTTGTAGAAGCTGGTTCGTTAAGACAAAAAACGAAGAAGGAATTATTAACTTTTACCTGACTTTTCCTTAACTCTTTGCTTGGTGGGGTTTCCTCTCCTTGAGACCTGCTTGAACTCATGTCACCGCTGAAATTATAAATTGTATGTTTTATACTTGGTGTTATGAACAGTTCAATAACAAATAACAAAGTAATTTAAAATGAATTTACTTATGTAAACAAGTAAATAGAGAGTCTTAGGCTAAACCTTGATTCCTCTTCTGTTAAGTCTTTGTTTCCACCAAGGATCACACTGGTGCATGTACTGTTTCCAGAATCACGATCAATTATATCGCATAGATACATAACTCAAGTTATTAATATTCGATTGTGCAAGCGTGTACCTTAGTATTTGATCAAGCTTGTCCAGAACTTGAGGCATTCTAAGCGTAAGTATTATGGAAAGAGCCAAGCCAAATGTCTTTTTTTGCATGGGAGACGCATCATCCACCTGCGCACGAGTAGATGCAATATCAAAATAAGTCGGCTAATGAAAAAAGAAACACTCATTTCAACATGTAGAGCAGTTTGGAAAAGAGCTCTGGCTCAGGAATTAGGATTATATAAAAGAAAGACCATATCAATGACATGAAAGATTCGTGTAAGCATATTGTAAAACAGTTAAAGTTAAAGAAAGCTGTTTGAACAACCAGTTATTGTTCAAGATACACTCTCCACTGACCTTGTCGAGCCAAATGTCGACGAGGCAAAGGAGTATGTTGTCTTCAATTGGGATCCCTGCCTGTTGGAGTAACACTGAGAGAGATGATTCAGATGTTAACTGGGCCAAGTAACTGGTGTTCATCACCAGAATCCTTGCCAGGATAGCAGCTGAAGACGCTTTAACTGCAGTCTTGGATGGATATCGGTCATCTCCACTCAAGCAAATAATCACCAGTTTCTACGAGAAAACCAACAAACCAACTCCATCAAATGTTTTTAGGACGAATATGGATCTTTCATCCATCAAAAAGACAACTAGAAATTCACCTGCAAACAGCTGGTGATGAGAGGGGGCACTTCCACAGGAAAACACTGTTCAATATAAGAGCAAATGTTCAAATCAAGAAGTTAAAAATTGGCATAGACAGTCATGAGAAACACTTATTCTTAGGTTAAGTTTGTATATACATTGCAGTTAACTCTTGGAATACATATAGATTGTCCAGTGATGGAATTTTGTTGGCTACCTTTACAAAATGGCTATGACCAAAAAAATTGGCTACCAAAGTCTTGGGGAGATGTAGACACATTACATAAAATTAAAGAATTGTGAAGAACAAAGGTTGACTTTTAGTTGACACTTGACATACAGCAAAAGATTCGTTTTTTCAATTGCTAATCACAATGATAAAACGAAAGGTCCATAAAAATTTGTTGCTTGAGAAATTAAACGCACCTGAACTAAGATGTCAATCACTGGAAGAATCGAGAGTAAACCCTTATCATTTACATTCCCAACAATAAGATCAAGAATCTTTGCAACACTCGAAGCATGCATATTCAGGAATTCTCCTCCATCCAAAATGATGTACGATTCCATGATACTGACAGCAACCTACTTTTGGTTAAGATGTTAGTCAAACCTTACAAGAGCATATGGTCATTAAAATATCTCTTAAGGTACTATTAACATATGTCTCAGTAAATCTGAGCACACACATATAGGCTATTAATAAATCAAAACGTCAACCTTTTAAAGCTTAAAAGCTAACCTGCAAATGATCAAAACTTCTTTCGATGATCTCCACCATATAGGGAAAGCATGCTAATAGCTGGGGCACCATCATAGGAGCATAGGAAAGTGTGGTTTCCCATAACTGCATATGTAGTGCAGTATCATTTTTATATAGCACATTTGTATCAGCGCAAAAGAAAGGTGTACATCTTATGAAGTGAAAACTTACTGCCATGCTATCCTCCAGAAGGTTGAGTGCATCAGGGCTATTTATGTCAATGCCCTTTTGGAGTATTGGGAGCAGTATGCTATAGCAAATTGGAGACTGATAACCAAGCGCAATCACAAAATTCCGCAGTGCAACAAGAAGCTGAATCTGTAGAAGGCTTTCACCAGAAGATTCCTCCCAAACCTGTTCTTAGGTCAAGCACATAGATAATAAGATATCATTTGGGGGCACCAAGAGAAGAATAAACAAATACAGAAAGAATGCCATTAACCTTCTGAAAGAATTGCACCAGCTTTTGTGCATACGGAATGACTTCACTAACATGGCCAATAAGAATAGAAATCAAATGCAGAACTTGAACCTGAGAAAAAAACAAAGAAACATTAGGATAGCTAGATGGAAAGATAGAGAGACATATAAGTCGTAGAAGAAAGTAGAACCGTAAGAATATAGTGCTATAATGAATTTGAGGCAGCTACGGCATGTACCTTCGAATCAAACTCTTGAACTTCCTCAACCATCTTGAAGCATGATTCCCAACAGATTGGAAGAAGATCTAGAAAACTTTGCTCCGAAAAATTTGCATCCTCAACATGTAAGCATAATGACCTGCTAGCTGCCAGCTGCATAAGAAAACAGACAATCTCAGAGGCAGCCAACATACAAAAACAAAAAGAAGGAAAAAAAATGTGACCTTAATGCAAGAGAGGTAAAAGCAACATATATGAGGATGAGACTACCTTGACAGCGAGGTCATTGTCTTGCAACAATTTTATCAAAGAACAATAAACTGCTCTTTTTGTGTCATCTTTAATCTGAAAGTTTATCATCAAACCATAAAAAACCAGTCACCAATTTCTTCACCCAAAATATAATTTAACAAAAACTATGGTAGAGAAGAGAACAAAAACCAACAGGGTACTAACCCTAATGGCCTCTTGTTACAAAATTGCCAAAAAATGCTGTTTTTAGATGATTATTCCTCATTAACACAACTTATACCGATAAGATATTACGTCATTTAGCATATAATAGTTCATGCAATGATAAGATGCACTTTCCTCTAAAGCGTTGTCATGATTAGCTGCATAAAAAAGGTAAAGCCAAAGTAAAACAACACTACCTCTGAAACCCAATGTCCCAATATCATCGCAACTTTTCGGTGAATGATACGCCTATTTGGATGGTCATTTGACAGCTCAAGGGACAGAGCACCATTAAACCTGCAGCCAAATCATCCGATCATTAAGAAGGGCACATTAATTACTTGACTAAACAAAAATCCTTCTCACTTTCAGCTGGCTAGCAAGTTAAGGTTCAGTTACGAATCACACAACGAAATTTAGAGGAGATGAAAAAAAAAATCTCGACATTAGAAGATCGAGAGCATACCAATCTCTGAAATTAAGATAATTCGAGAGCTCATAGTAGACATATGCAGTAGCAGCATATGCGGCATCTTTAAGAAGCAGCGCAGGAGTTATTTCGGTAACAGAAGGGGGACAATTATTCATTGCCTCTTGAAGGATGGACACAACAATAGGTCCTAGAAGCTGTTCACAATGATGGAGACAGAAAGAGAAGCATCAGTTTATATAAATAGCCCACTGAAATTGGGGGTTAAGTTAAGGAGACTTCTTTTCAGAACACACTGAAATGCTTAAGACTATCTGCTACTTACTTGGCTGTAGTTCTCAAACAAAACCATATATAGAGCTTCAGCACAAGGCCTCAGTTTCTCTGTCCACTGAATCATGTCCTGCTCATGATGAAAGGACTCAGGGTTCTGGTACCACTCCTCTAGGTCACTTGCTGTTAGAACAAAATACCTGTTGGAATGTCAATTATTAAATTTCAGCAAACTACTCTTCCAGGCATCATTTATATAACTAAACTACCAGGGAATGGAGGTAGGAATACATTGCAGCATCACAGTTCACACCAAAACAAATGAATTGATGCATACAATATTTTCAAACTAAATCCACAAGGCCCCGACTGCAACAATGCCTTCTCATCTATTCCATGCACATCACGTAACTTATCTTTAATGTCAGATAGCTGACATATCCATACAATAACGATATCCTTCTAACTACATGGTGAAGAGACTGAGAACAGAGATACATAGATGTAGAGCAATAAGATCCTTATCATTAGTTATCCATATAGGCATAGAATGATACGAAATTAACAGGAACACAGCTTGGTAAGTAAGAGAGAACCAAATAATTTGCATTCACATATCTTATAATTGGTCAGAGTGTTACCTTCTCACTAGTATGTTGCACAAAAGAACTATCCTTTCATTGGGTAAAAGTGAAGACACAATGCCACCAACTGTGTTTGAAGCACTCTTCTTCCTCTGCTCAAATGTAACTCCATTTTCATCCATCACGCGACCAGTTAGACTTGGCTTATATTCTTTACATTCAAGCACAGACTTCACCATCACCATACACTGAATGAAAAATTCTTCAAATGGTAGCAATGCCTGTTCAGGTTCTGTTATCTTGTTTAAGCAGAAATCAACTACGACTGGAAGAACACATTTATCTCCAAACGAATAAGGATGTCTGCTTTGAATTGCGCCTAACACTTTCATCAGCTTGACACATGCCTTCTTTACAAACTCCCAGAATTTAGGATCTCGATTCTGAAAAGATGAATCTGCATGAAGACTCCGCAAAAGTTAGCAAAAGCATATTTATGTGGGATTGAAGCAAGGAAAGGAAGGAAAAAAATCATCTTCGATAAATTGTCATATGCATGTAATAGTGTCCAAAGCTAAAAAAACTCACAATATGGAAGAAATGATTGAACTGCATTCAAGAGGGCAGGAGAGACGTCTTTCACTGGTTGAATCTCCTGAGAGAAAAGAGTTAGCTGTATATTCAGATATCTGCATGTAGAGCATATGCCTGAAAGAGAGGACGAATTCTATATTCCGATACAATGAATCAATCTATTCAGGTTATGATTCAGCTTAACTGTCAGGAAATAGCAGAAGAAATGGGGAAAACAGAACACAAATTCGCTGAAAATACACCACTAGTTCATATATGGAAGATAGCTGAAGGTGGATGTTATAATGAACTAAAAAGAGTCAAGGAGAAGGATAGTGTAGTGTATCTACCTGTATGGATTTGGCATCGCTTTGAAATCCTGAAATTATGAGTTGGCGCACTATTTTCAAACATAAAAACCACCTCTCACAAGTCAGAAAAAGCTCATCGTGATGCTGCTCGGCACTATTTGAACCATAGGTCTGAGCCATTGTTGAAAATCCACGCAGAATTGTTTGGACATCAGTTTGCCAAAGGTGCCAACTAAAGTCAAAGAATTGCGACGAGATCTGCCAACAAATTAAACTGGAACTTATCCTTTACTAAAGCAAAAACCTGAGCTTTGGTGGCCCAACAACAAGTTTTCATGCAAGATGAGAAAGAAAATTGATAAGGTGATGATGATATAGTAGCAGACACACCTCAGCGAAGTTTTTCTGATCTGCAGTGAGACGTTTAGTGGACAATTCCTTTAAGGTTCGAAAAAGAATCATAAAGATTCTGTGAGAAGCAAGAACGTCAGCTGATTGAAGCTGTTGTGCTAGCACCGAGAAGAGATCAGGCCTGACATCATGAAACACAAAACTCCATTTATTTTGCGATGAAAATAATATAAAAACTCAGCAGATCAAGGAAGATATTGTCTAGTTAATATGAAATAGAGAGTGAAAATGCTGACCATTCCCTAGGATAATCAAAGCGGGCTATCTTCGATATAAGAACAGCCAACATTTCAGCTATCTGCCATAAAGAAAATCAAGTCAGATACATATCCTTACCCAATATATGCCTCGGTTAATGCAGCCTAGTGACATAAATCTAAAACCAGCCATTAACAAACAAAGCAAAATGTTACAGCACCTTGTAGTTCTCTTCTCTCAAGTGAGACAACAATTTCTGCCTCAGATGAATCTTCTCCTCGTTGCTTATACCCCTGTAAAAATCGCCACCAAGAGTGTCAACACTAGCCAGCTAAGTGTATAAACCAGATTCTAATCTAAGCCAAGTTAGGTGAAGCATCCAATAATCAGTAAAGCTGAACTTACGAAGAATTTCGTCTGCTCTTCCAATGACGGTTAATACTGTTCTTGAAATACACTGAGGCCATCAATCTAACGTCCACATGAGACACCAAATCCTTCGATGCAATTACTTCCTGCAACCAAACGAAAGGAAATGAGCAAGTAAAATCGAGCTGACATTAGCAGAAACCACAAGAGCATAGAATTAGAAACGCACCATGAGGCAAGAACAGAAACCAGGTCTACTCTCCGACTGAGACAGAGCCGCCTCCGCCGGTCGCCGAACGGTCTCGTCACCGCTCATAGAATTTGCTAGCAATGAGTACATCGCCGGTAAATCGGAAGCTGATAACGCCATCAGAACCAGCTCCGTTCTCCTCCCAACACAAAGAAACAAAAGAACTGCAACCAGATCCGACGAAATCTTTGACCTAATAAACCAAGAAAGCGTCGACGGTGAACCCTAGGGGTTTGGGCAATGAACAGAGACGACGGACAATAAAATCTCACGGCGG